TGGCAGGATCCTTAGAAAGGTCTCAGAATTAGCGGTAGGAGATAATGTTTCCCCATTATCACAGCTCTTAGAAATATTGGGAGCAAGGAACCCAAATAATAATAATAATAATAATAATAATAATAAAAAAGATACAATCTAGTTGGAGCTAAGTAGCTTCATTTATGTAACTCAAGATACACATCTCAAGAAGCAGACATTTTGTTTTGACATCTATATGACATCCTTTCAAAGGGTACAAGTTCACCAAAGCCCACTAACTAGTCTTAAATGTGAGAGGAGGGATTCTTCTATTGCCAGTGGTGCTGGAACTAGGGATGCCCAGGGTGCTGCCGCACCTCCTGGCTTGAAATAGTAATAACAAACACCAAATACATGGTTTCCATCATCAGCATCCTCCCCTTCCCTTTCCCCACAATAAAAATTGTTCCAGCACCCCTGTCTCTTTCTGCATTAACAACTTTTTGGCCATGAGGAAAGCATAGTACAAGTGTCAGACACTATCATGTCTATTCCTGTATGGAGTAATGAGTAAAATTAAAAAAAATACCTAAGTCACTGTCTCCTAAGGGTATATCTACAATGCAAAGAAACAAAGGACCCACCACAGAAGAGCCTAGGTCAGCTGACTCAGGCTTGCACTACAGGGCTAAAATCAGTGGTGTAGACATTCAGGCTCAGGCTGGAGCCAAGCTATTAGACCCACTCCTCTTGCTGGGTTTCAGAGCCTGGGCTCCAGCCCAAGCCCCAGTGTCTACACTGCTAGTCTTAGCTCCATAACACAAGCCCCGCAAGCATGAATCAATTGACCTGGGCTCCGAGACTAACTGCCAGAGCTCTTTTTCTGCACTGGAGACATAGCCGATGTCATTCTACACTGCACACTAAGCCTGGGTCTATGGTCTCAGTATTTCCAACCCCTCACTTGAACAGCCACACTGGGATTACAATTACTGGACCCAGGTCTCACAGCCATGCTAACACACCCACACTGCACTACGCAGACCTTCTAACTCGGGTCTTCAGCTTGACCTGCGTCCATCCTGCAAAATTACAGGGCTGAGAGCTGAGTCACAGCAGGACTTGGGCTCCTAACTACCCACAAGCAGCATCCTAGGACCTGAGTTCTTGCTGACCCAAGTCAGGATGATTCGTGTGTGGACAGAAGGGGGATTTGGGTTCAAACCTGAGTCATAGTCCAGGTTTAATATGCAGCATAGACATATGCTAGATTTAGCTAATAACATAACAAGATGTGCTTATGTTGTGACATACTGGCAACCCTCAGAGGCCTGATCCTCCAATCTTTGCTTACGAGTAGTCGACTGACTTTCAAGTGAGAGGCAGTGTGATCTAGTGGCTAGAGTAGTATATGGTGACGTAAGAGACCTAGGTTCTATTCCTGAGCTGCTGGGTGACCTTGGGCAAGTCACTGTGGGGTTGGAAGGGATAGGTTTAAATTGTTGAACACCAAGTAATTGTTTTAAAAATTACCAAAAAAAATTTAGTTTAAAGAAACAAGAAATATTTGGCCAGCTCTTCCTAACAGTATATTTTACTGCCAATCAGTCCATTTATATATCTTAGGGGACACTGATCAAGACTAAGCAAAACAGTCACAATTATTAGTCATAGTATTTTTATTATTAAGGACAGGAAAAGCAAATCACAAACAACACAAATGACCAAACACACTGGTTACAAACTCTTCTGTACTGACTTTCTGTGGAGAGCTTTTAGTAAAGATTAGAACCCTGAGAGTGAACACCTCTGAGGTGTGATTTCCTCTTGATAAGCTAAGACCAAAGTATATTGTTTCCCAAAATTATTGTGAATCCATTCTTTAGTATAGCTATAGATAACTAAGAATGTTTACAGATGAGCAAAATAACTTTGTTTCAGTGCAGGTGGATCTGCTGGTTATTAATAAATCACCAGCCAATTTATAGTTGGTAAAGTAAGCAAGCTTAACTACAATCTATGAAAGTGAAGAAAATATTTCAATCTATTGCTTAGAAGAAGCCATTTACAGAGCTGGCTTGAGACAGGCAAATTAACCAGTATTAAGAATCTTAAATCTAGTTAAATCTCTTCTTGCACAGTCCCATATAGCCATAACTATTCAAATTAACTGAGCAGTAGAGGAAAAGTAATAAAACTACCAGCAGAAAGCAGGGTCCTGCCTCTTCAAATATACCAAGCTAAGTTCTAAAAGACAGAGCCCTGATTGTATGGCTGAGCTAAACAAGATGACTGTTTCTAAAACTGTTCTACCTTATGGAAACCATTAACTCCAACCTGACTTCCTATTACAACACACCACTGTGAACACCTATTAACAGCTAATAGAATCATCCAGAAATGATCAGAACCCAAAAGAATAATTTTATTTAAAAAAATGGGTTTTCTTGTGCATATTATGTAATACAACAGAGGGATATGCAAATTAGAGTGCTTAGAGGCCTATTATTCTACAGAATTTTAAACATTAGTATAATTGTTTGACAAGGGGGAATAAAGCCATATTGTATTCTTGATATTACCCATGAGACATGATAGGAGAAACCAATAACAACCTAATAAGGTTCAGTGTCTCTCAAACTTTTTCCTGCTGGGAGCCACTTAAGAGCCAAAAGAAATTTCTGAGAGGCCACCACCAAACAAAAACACCCCAGATCACAATTCTGTGCAGTTTCTATTCACATTTTTGACATGGTATTGTATTTTTCCATCATCATTTTTTATTTAAAGAAATATAGACAATGAATGTTAAACACCATCATTGGATGTTTTACATTCCATTATGCTCTGAAGCCTTCCATTTTATTTTATTTTTGTTTGTTTTTTAAATTAGGGCATATTTTTATTACATTTTAAACCTAAATATAAACAAAACAAAAGGGAGAAAAGCACTTCTGGAGCAGCACCAATGATGGCTGTGTATGCATCTATTACGTCTATATGAGAAAGTTGCACTGGTTTAAACTTAAGATGTGATTTTAAATCGATTCAGTTAAACCAGTGCAAAAGACTGTGCAAAGGCGCATAGTTCAGTTTAAACCAGCATTGTTTCAGTTTAGTTTAAGTCAGTTAGGCACCAATTTAAGCTAAAACAAACCACACCACTCTTTAACCAAAATAAAGGAGTCCAGACAAGGGGTTGCACTGGTTTAAGTAAATCTAAATTAATAACTGAGTTAGGCTAAACTGTGCAGCATTCTTGCACATTCAAGGCACTAGTTAGTCAAGATTGGGAAATGTAAATTTTCTCTGCCAAACTTTTTGACATTATCTGGGATTTTCTAGTAGGTGAGTGCAGCCCGCCGACAGCAATTCCGGGCTCCAGGGCAGAACAGTCAATGGGCTCCCACGCACGCACAAGCTGCACCCACGTGGATGCGGTCCACCTGACATTTGGGCAGTGCTGTGCCCGCACTGGCTGGTGCCCAGTGAGCTGCCGGCTGCACTGCTGAGCACACTCTTCTGGCACGGCCAGGGCCTCCTCATGCCTGCGCAGTAGGGTTGCCAACTGTCTAATCGTGCAAACCCAAAAACCCTTGCCCTGCCCCCTCCCCTGCCCCTTCCATGAGGCCACACCCCTGTACTGCCCCTTCTCTGAGGTTCCTCCCCTGGCTCACTCCATCCCCGCCTCCCTCCATCGCTCGTTCTCCCCCACCCTCACTCACTTTCACCAGGCTGGGGCAGGAGTGCAGGAAGGGTGCAGGCTGCAGGCTCTGGGAGGGAGTTTGGGTGTGGCAGGGCCGGCTCCAGGCACCAGTAAAGGAAGCAGGTGCCTGGGGCAGCCAATAGAAAGGGGCAGTCCGTCCGTGATTGAGGCGGCACGTCCAGGTCTGCGGCGGCACTTCGGCGGCAGCTCAATCGGGTTTTTCTTTTTTCTTTTTCTTTTTTTCGCCGCTTGGGGCGGCAAAAAAGCTGGAGCCGGCCCGGGGTGCGGTGGTGTGCAGTGCAGGCTCTGGGAGGGAGTTTGGGTGCGGGAGGGAGTGTGGGCTCTGGAACGGAGTTTGGATGCATGGTGCAGGCTTTGGGAGGGAGTTTGAGTGTGTGTGTGGGGGGTGCGGGGTGCAGGCTCTAGGAGGGAGTTTGGGTGCAGGCTCTGGACTGGGCCAGGAGTTGGGGTGCAGGAGGTGGTCAATGGGTTGGTGCTTACCTCGGGCAGCTCCTGAAAGTGATCGGCACACCCCTCTGGCAGCAGCTCCTAGGCTGGTAGCCCAGGGGGTCTCCACGCACCGCTGCCCGCAGGAACCACCCCCACAGCTCCCATTGGTCGCAGTTCCGAGCCAAAGGGAGCTGTGGAGTCTGCCTTAGCCCCGCTGCACTGCTGGCAGTGTCCGGGAGCCCCCAGGCCCTTTTAAATCACTCGGGTCCCTGGGCAATTGCCTCCTTTGCCCAGCCCTGTCAGCAGGCCTGGTGATGTGTTCCCAAACTACAGCTGAAATCACTAAGGCCCAGACCCATGAAGGGACTTATGCACAGTGTTGTGGCACCTAACTTTTAGGTGCCTAGAAAAATCACAGGAACAACACTGCGATCCACTCAGCCGAGTGAGGCACTTCAGCTTCTATACAATGAATGGGGAGAGGTAGGCTCCTTAGCTTGCGATTTGCAAAGTCAGGGAGCTATCTTAGCTAGCCAATAACCAGAGGTTATTGTGCTTGTGCTAAGCCATGCCCTTCTCAGAGGGGTAGGCACCTAAGGCATTCTAACTGTTTCAGGGGATCAATTCATAATTACTGATTCAATTATTTAATTAAAGTGGAACAACGTCAATAGGAGAGACTGAGGGAGCCTCACATCAGAATATTCCAAAGCCTAGTGGTTAAAGCACTCACCCAGGAGCGGCACCAGGGTTTTTGCCGCCCTAGGCAGCAGCGCTCCTCCTCTGAGCATTCGGCAGTAGGGGTCCTTCCGCTCCGTGTCTTTGGGGCACTTTGGCGGCGGGTCCCAGAGCAAGTGAAGGACCCGCCGCCGAATTTCCGCCAAAGACCCGGAGCAGAAGAACTCCCTGCCACCAAATTTCCGCAGAGGATGGCAAAATGCCGCCCCCATATCCTGCCGCCCTAGGCGACTGCCTATGGTCGCCTAGTGGAAGCGCCGGCCCTGCACTCACCTGAGAGGTGGCAGATCCCTTTTCAAATGCCTTCTTCCCCTCAGGTGGAGGGATACTTGAACTGGGGAGGGGAGTCTCCCATATCCTGGGTGACTCACCTATCCACTGGGATAACAGGTGTGGTTGTCTTCTTTTCCCCAGCTGTTTTGTGTGAACTCACCAGAGAGCAATAAAGCCTGAGCTGATAGTTACCTAAGCCAGTGGAAGAACTCCCACTGACTCCAGTGTGCATCAGATTGGATCCATAAAACAAAAAAGTGAAATCATCATTCCAGTCAGTCCATATCATTGTTCTACACAGTTGTTTTCCATAGTGTAATTAATTGGTGGGGGAGGGGGAATGTTTGTACTGTGGGGCAATAATTGACACAATGAGCTGTTTGGCTCAGGTATCAGTGATTTTCAATTGCTATTAAACAAGATAGTGTTTAAAATAAATCAATATTAAACAGGCAGGTACTGAATTAACGCAAAATGAATGGTGAATGGAAAACTGTGTGGTTGTCTCTTAGGCATGTTAATATTAAGTGGGCTAGTCTGTGTTTGGGAAATCTTAGCCTTAGTACTCATGTCTAAATCCTTTTCCACCGATACATGTACACAACCTCACTGGCTTGCCTGGAAGGTGCATGCATGTTTCTGAAGGGAGCATTTTTCCTCCTGTGATTATTTTGAAAAAGAGTAAATGGCAATATACTTTTTCCAAGCTCTAATCTCTGTGTTGGCCTTCTCCAGGGTGCCAGGTATAAGGCAATAAAACCAGATTAGGCAGATTCAAAAGCAATACAAGTGCTCAACCTCCCAAATCTTCACCTGAGGTGCCCTCATTTCGGAGATTCTACATAGCTACACTTTATTCAAAAACTCATGATGTTCTGGAACAGTGTTCAGTCGCTTATGTAATGTAATGACTAGAACGTCTATCACTACTACCCCCTATTGGTCAGAGCTGCTCGTGTGCTTGTGTGTGAGAGAGCATGAGAGAGACTGGCTCCCTTGAGCAAATGAATGGCCCATAGAGCATATGCCCCTTCTACAATTACTACCATAGCTATCAGACATTCTCCATTAGCTCAGGTAGCAGGCCTGTTTGGTTTTGGAGCAGAAGGTCTTGATGAGTTCTGTTCCACAGGCTGCACATATGCATGATATAGCTGATGTCTGTGTTGTAAGCAGTAGATGAATTTTTTAAATGTACCAGCATTTGGCTGCTGTGGAAGGAGACAGCAGCAGCCAGTGAATCCATGGCAAGAATGAACTGCCTGTTATTTTATCCTGGAAACCATGGCATCAGTAGGAGTGCTCCCTCCCCCGCCATCCCACTCTAAATGTAATCAGCCATCTTCACAAGCAGTTTCCATTTCTGCGCTGAGTACAAAATAACTCCTGGATGAAGATGGGAAAGGGGGAGTAGCCAGTAGCTTGCAGGGTTGTTTCACTTTCATTGAAACACCAGCCCTGGAAAGAAAGGAAATTAAAACTTTTTTTTTAAATCCTCAGCCATGACCCCCTAAGCTGGAGGGTCATGACCCCCAGTTTGGGAAAAGCTGCACTTTCTCCTCCTCTTCCTCCCCAACACATACGCATGCCATGAAAATCTTGCCCTATTGACCACGTATAAAAATGTCCCTTAAAGAATGCATAGAAAAATAGCATCTAGGTAAATGAAGTCAATAAAACAGAGCAGGGAGTGAGGGGGGGCTTTTCATAATCTCAGCTTCTCATATAGATGAATATTGAACAGCCCCAAATGGTCTAATGATAAACTTTAACTAGAGGACTAGATCTGTTTTAACTAGAGATTAGACTTGTTGAATGTAGGCGCCTACTGAATGGTCTATGCTGTCTCCTGTTCTTCTGTGCTTCTTTCTTCTCTGGATCTTAATTCTTTTTAATTCTCTTTGACTTTATCCTTGCACTTTTCCTCCCTCTCTTTGTCTTTAGACTTCACTTTTTGCCATCTCCTTTTCTTCATTTGTTTGACTTTCTTTCCCTAGCTTTCCACATTCCCTATCTTAAGATCCCCACCATGAGGCTAATTCATAATGAAGTTTTTTTTGGCCGGATTGATCGTCCTCTTCTACATCATCAGCTATGTCAATGGTATTTCTATAGCTTTCATTACACTCTGGGGATCAGACCAGGTGAGCCCTGAGTCTAAGGAAAGGAAGTTCATTCTTCCTGCCTTACACAAGAGCAGTCTGCAAGATCTCCAATTGAACTTTTTTAAACCCAGAATGGACCAAAATCTTTGCTGGGAAACCCCAGTTTGGATCCAGCCCATAAGCTAACTTTTCTTTCATCCAAGTGGCATGCTCTTCAGAATGGTCAGACTTCTCACATTTGCTCCTGAACCCACCGTTGAGCTTCCGGTTATTCTTTTCATTGAGCTGCTCTTACCTGGGAGACTGTGAGAAAGGAGGAGGCCCTGCAGCCTCAGCACCGCCACACTCAGAAATTGGCCGTTCTGTAAGCACGTCTAGTGCGGAGATCTGTCTCTCTGGTTTGTTTCCCCATTCGCTTTCTGTATCACCTTCACCTTCTTTGCAGAGCTGCAAAATGTTACAACGCATCCCTTTACTTGATGCTAATGTCATCTTAAAGTCTAGCTGTGACTGCGTCCTCTATTCTCATGGGCTAATCCTCACATTTAACAGCCTTATTCAAACCTTTTGGATCTATACAAAATTATGTTGTCTTATAACAGTGGCCATAGTCTTTACCCCCTCACTCTGAATTCACTCAATAATGTTTAATTTTACTATCCAAGCGAGTTCCACTTTTAATTTGTCTCTCGTTGCTACTGGGACGGTGTTTTAATTTTTCATGTTACACTTGAATCAGTATGACTGTTCTCTCTTTCTGCTTTGGGGCTGCCTTACTTTCCCTGCCTGCTCTCACTTTTATCTGGGAAGTGCAATTTTTGCTAGCCCTGCAAATACCCAATTTTTCTGTGCAAGGTCAAGTCCACACAGTGTGCAGTCCAGTGTCGGTGTACTACTGCGCACGTTCTAGCAGAGACTACGTGTGCAAGTAAAGACAAGCCCTAGAGTTGATCCTTTGCACTAAGTAGTATTAAATCTCAATATTCCTGCATGCTCACTCGTTCACTCACAATAGGCATGTCTGAAGAGATGGGGGTTGAAGTGTGAGTGCTGATGGGGCATTTAGCTGAATGTTCCCCTTTGAGCCTCCCACCACTAGGCAAGACTATGCCCAAGGCTCATTCAGCTGCATTCTCCTTCATGCAGGGTCAGGTTCCTTTGCCCTCCCTGTCGCACTCAGCACTTTTTACCTTATGCTTGCAACGCTCCAAGTCAGTGCATTAAGCTTGAAGAGAACATGCATCAGCCATTATGCAGCTCCCCACAACGTACTTGCCAGATCTTTCTCATCAAAGAGTCTGATCCAAGACCCTTGGAAGGCAGTGGGAGTGTTTCCATTGGCTTTAAAGGGCTCTGTATCAGGCCCAAAACAAGGGACAACATTAAAGAAGAATCAAGGAACAAAGCAAAGGAGCAAAAGAAGGGAATTTGTCTGAAAGTAGGCTGGAGGGAGACAGACTCACACAGAGAAGGCACGTAAGGCCCAAAGCTGCAGTGCTTGCAGAGACAAAGTTCTTCTGGATGGATTTCACTGCCAAATGATCTGCACTCACTGCGACTCTCAGTCTCAGCAGTACATTTGAACATGGAGGTGAAGACACCATGTAGGCAGTCCTTTACTTTGTTTAATATATTTTATTATCCTAAGTATTCCTTTTATTATCCTTATTATTTTAAAGCAGTGGAAAATATGCCCATGGAAGATGTTTGGAAAAGCAATGGAGAAATAAACTCAAAAAACCACTTCCAATGTTTCACTCCCTTTCTTCTTGTAAATGTACCTAACAACCAAACAAAGATGACAATTTGGCAAAATATTTTCTAGCCTCACACCAATAAATGGATAATGGCAAGAAAGTCTCCACAATTTTCCAGTACCTAAGGCCTATTACCCAATAATTTGCAAATAGCATGAAATAAATCCAGTTGTCAATGCAAATTGTCCATGACTCTTTCCATTTCTCGTATGTCTCTTAGCATAGCATAGCTGTATTTAATAGTCCATCCAAGTTAGACCACAGTGCTTCCTACACCATTAATACTGGTTACAATGAATACAAATGTATTGTCTCCTCTGAAAGGAAATCCTACAGATCCTTGTATCATATCTACAGGATACGTTTGGATGAAGTGTCTAGCAGGGTCCTACCACAGTCCTATTTAGTTAAACATTTTCAGCAGTTATCTGGAAGCAGTAGAAGAAAAGTATGGACAGCAAAGATGATTGAGAGCCTGAAAGAAATGATCAGTGATGAAAGGCTAAAAGGACAAACTGTATGTGTAGTTTAGCTAGAAGAATAAAGCTAACATAATTAATAGGTCATGAATCATTCTTACCACATGCAGTGCTTTACATGTTCAAAGTAATGTATGAAAATTAAGATTTGGTGTAACCAACCATCTCCAAAGATCTGAAGGGCCCCAGCATTAAAGAAAGGAATATGATTAAGGGTACCTAAAAATAATAATTAGACAAAGTAATGAAGAACGGAAGAATGAACATTGAAGCTGGACATAAAAAAAACCACTACATGAATAATTTGGATGAATAAACAATTAAACGTTCTTCCAAGACCCTGGTGGGATCATAGAGCCCACATTTACCTAATCGAAGAGAGAGGCTGAAGTGAAAGACATGTATACATACTTACATACTCTGTGACTTTTTCTTCAGTACATTAAATGACTCCTTTGGCATCAGGATTGCAGCTGAGGTGTATGGGTCTCTGATTAGCCTACCCCTTCAGAATGATCACCAACAAATAACCATCAGTACACACAGTTGTTTTTACAATGTGATTTGGCAAATTACCCCCCAAAGCCACTTCATCCTTATCACCATCTAGCGGGGCATATTTAGTATGCAAGTTTAGACTAATGTTTTGAGAACAAAAGAGTTCATCTTAATCTCCACACAGAAGGCACCATACATTATAAAAATGTGTGGCAGATAAAAATGGAGGACCTGAGTTTCCTCTTTTGACACAGAGGCCCACTTGCAAAGGGTTCACTACTACTCTGTGTCAGCAACTCCTAAGAGGCCTTGACAAACTCACTACACCCAACACATTGCTGCCATAGTATTTATCCATAAATGGTGTCTTGTAAGGTATCAAATGTAAGCCAGTGACATGCTGGTCATCATAAGTACTGCGAGATGTATGTACGAACAGTGTGTAAGGAGTTATGTGTACCTTCTAAAAATATGTTTTAAACTATGTCACCAGGCAGAGTTGACAAGCAGGTTTTTCTGCCAGACAAAGCATGTCTATTCACTTATACCTGTCTCTGATTTAAATTAAGCCTGGAAGCACAGGCGCCAGCTTCCTCTGGGCCCTGGGGGTACTCAACCCCCTGCTCTGCCCCAGGCCCCACCCCCTACATTTGCATTGAACATGAAGACAGTGATGTCAACATGAGAAGACATCTGTAACTAAACCACTGGGGGATGTCCTGTCTAGAGTGCAAAGCCAGTGAACTTTGGGATATAAGAGGAAAGCAAGAGGACCCCATTTTATCCTGCACCTAAGGAGTAATTGGTCAGTGCAATTAAATTTATGAAAACGGGATCTCAACCAGGGTTTGATTGAAAGCACTGTAAAGAGCATCTGGGTAAGATAGACTTCTTTAGAGAAGGGCGTTTGCCTGTTAAAGTTAAGTTTAGACTATAAGAAGCACATTCTACCTTTTGTTGGGTCACCTGTTGTTCTTTTTACCCATGCTCACTAGCTCTTAAATCTTGACCTTTGTTAATAAACATATTTGTTTTCAATAGAATTAGATTACAATGCTGTGTTGTTATATTGGAGCTGATATTCAGTTGAATCAAAGAAGCATGTGTGTGTGTGTGTTGTCTCTTTGAGGACAGCTTACCCCATAATTTCTATGAATGCCCAGTGCTGCAGGGGAACTTGGGGACTGGGGTGCACCTAGTGTTAACCTGCAAGGCAAACACAGGGCTGCATAAGCTTGAGTGACTGAAGGGCTGGTAGGGTCAGGCAAAGGTGATGCTACCCCACTGGCAGCCCTAAGCAGGAATATTCTCTCTCTCTCTCTCTCACATACACACACACACAAAATAGGGGACCTCCTTGAGCTGATCAGGGCCCTAAGCAATTGCTTGGTCTGCTTATGCCTACCACCCACCCAGCTACCACAAGAAAGACTTCCTCTCACTGAAGGCGGCTGTGTAATACAGTGACTCACAGTCCTGGGCACTCAGAGAGAGTGTCACACCTCTCACTTCATAGTAAATTCGGAGTAATTCCAGCGACATCAACGGAGTTACAGCAGCCTAAAACCAGTGTAAATAAGAGGCAAATCAGGCCTGGAATTGTGTCTGCCTTAAATAGTTCTTCTACAGCTGCCTGCAGATCACTGGCTTATGGACTCAAGTACTGAGCATGTAATAAAATGTTCATGCCTTGTTTCAATTGCCAACGTGAAAATATAAAACTTGTCGTATCAAATTTCTTCTCTGCATGTAAATCTTCAGAGCAAATGCACATTGGGCTGTGTTGATGCCAGATAGTAGACCTGGATGTAACATTAGTTCTTGGTTTTTAATGGACAAAGATTAAGTGAAAAGGAGATAATATTTAAATGCTATAGTAATCACTGCAGTGGCAGTCTACTGAAGTTAAATTGTGTTTCCTGGTGTTGGAAAAGGACTAGGTATTTGAATGAGAGTCAGAGATGAGAAAGGCCTATATTTGAAAGCCATGCTGTGGATGGTTAACAATCATTGAAGTTATGGATCAGGTTGAAAGGATTTTATTTGGGTTTTTTTGTTATTGTTGGCAAGTGGATTGGTAAGTAGGCACATTGCAAAGGGCTCCATCCTGCATTGTTGACTCAGGCTGAAGTGCTTAAGTGACTAAGGAGCACGAGTCCCAATTGGAATTGGTGCTCCTAAGTCACTTGGGCACTATTGAAACTCCCATGGGCTTCAATGGGAGGTGGAGCAAAAGGATCAGGCCCTACATTTTTCACCACAGAAGAGGCACACACAATCTCTCTTTACCTGAAGGCCAAATTCCTATAGAACTCACACTTTTAAAACTTTATTCATCTCTCTTTAAACCACCTGTTCCAAGTGTAACTTTAGCACCCTCGTGGCCAAGATGGAGTCTGCTCTGCAGGCAGCTCTGGCCAAGAGAAGGCGCACACAGGAACACAGCAGGGAAAGTCCCTTCCACCCCAGGGGCACCTGTTCCAAACCCCCCTGCGTGAACACACACACACCAGAAAAGTAAAAATGAATATAGAAAGGGAAATATTTATTTACAGAGGGATGAGAGGAGAAAAACAATAGGGGGAAATGTAGGGGGACCAGTCAAATGGAGTTGCATTCAACACCAGGCCCCACCAGCCCAATGGTATCACAGTCTGAAAGGGCAGATACTGAGCAATGTGTCTGCACACACAGTACAGGAGTCCTAGGCAAAGTTCCAGTCTAGTGGTGAGTCTTGGGTGCTCCTGGTTGTCTTCAGCATGAGTTAACTTTCCCCAACAAACCCGCCAGTGTCCTCTTCTGCCGCTCTCCGCAAAGCCACACAGAGTGACCACCTCCCCACTTAACTAGATACAACCTTCCTCCTTGTTTCCAATGCAAAGTCACCAGCCCCAGTACTCACAGCCCCATGCAGCTCCAGGCAGCAGTGATACTGGGTCCAGCTCTGGGTTGTCTTTCTTGGACGATTGTTCTCTGGCATGGTGTTCCTCCTGGCTCCTGTCCTGGGGAGTCCCCGGTTAGCCACTCTGTCCCTCCTAGGCTTCAGGCAGGTTCTTGGCTCCTGCACTCAGTGAGGGTCTGCTTGCTGTAGCCCTTCTGTCTTGAGCTTCAGACACACACCCTGTTGCTCTTCCCTCCGTCTCTGCCCTCTTCCCCCAACAGTTAGGGTTGCCAAGCGTCTGGTTTTTGACCAGAACGCTCAGTTGAAAAGGGACCCTGGCAGCTCCGGCCAGCACCGCTGACCAGGCCATTAAAAGTCCAGTTGGCGGTGCAGTGGGGCTAAGGCAGGCTTCCAGAAGTGGCCAGCATGTCCCTGTGGCCACTAGACGCAGGGTGATCAGGGAATCTTAGCACAGTGCCCCCGCCCCCAGCACCGGCTCCGCAGCTCCCATTGGCCAGGGACCGTGGCCAATGGGAGGTGTGGGGGCAGCACCTGCGGGCGCGTAGCACACACTGTGCAGAGCCACCTGGCCATGCCTCCGCCTAGGGGCCGGACATGCCATCTGCTTCCGGGAGCAGCGCAGAGCCAGGGCAGACAGGGAGTCTGCCTTATCCTCACTGTGCCACTGACCAAGAACTGCCTGAGGTAAGCGCTGCCTGGTCGGAGTCTGAACCCCCTTCTGCCCCAGGTCAGAACCCCCTCCTGCACCCAAACTCCCTCCTGGAGTCCAGAGCCCATACCTCACCCCCGCTTCCGCACCCTGAACCCCTACCCCAGCCCTGAGCCCCCTACCATAGCCTGCACCCTGAACCCCCTCCTGCGCTCCAACCCCGTACCCCAGCCCTGAGCCCCCTCCCACACTCAAACTCCCTCCTGGAGCCCACACCCTACACCCCTCCTGCACCCCCGAACTCCCTACTCCAGCCCTGAGCCCCCTCCTGCACACCAAGCCCCTCATCCCTGGCCCCACCCCAGAGTCCACGCCCCCTGCAGAAGCCTGCACCCCCTCCCACACCCCAACCCCCACCCCATCCCGGAGCCCCCTCCTGTACCCTTAACCCCTCATTTCTGGCCCCACCCCAGAGCCTGCACTCCTAGCTGAAGACTTCACCCCCTTCAACTCCCTGCCCCAGCCCAGTGAAAGTAGTGAGGGTGGGGGAGAGGGAGCAACCGAGGGAGGGGGGCTGGAGTGAGTGGGGGCATGGCCTCAGAGAAGAGGCAGGGCAGAGGTGGGGTAAGGGTGTTTGGTTTTGTGCAATTAGAAAGCTAGCAACCCTACCAACAGCACTTCCTCCTTCTTGAACAATCAGCACTTCCCCCCTCAGGAAAAAGATTTAAAGGGGCCATGCTCTCTAAACCCCAAAGGGGTTACACAACGTTCTAGGGACCGATGGAGAAATGGAACATGTAAATTTTCATCACATCACTGACTTCAGTGGGGCTGTAACATCACACCAGCTGAGGACCTGCCCTGTGACTCTCAAAGCACTAAAAATTCAAAATAGGTTCATCAGCCTATGCTAAAATATCCAGCCCATGATATATAAATTAACCCACCCAATAGCAAACTCCATCATCTTGCTACTTCAACCCAACACCTCCAGCAAAAGCCCAAGAAAATACATGAGCCTTGCAGTGTGCCCTGAAGACAAACAGTTTTGGACTCCCTCTCTCTAGCTATTTATAGGAGGTCACTAAAATCTGAAAAACTCACAAACATGAATGGACTTTATCCTCACATCATTCCTGTGAGACAGAGAAGTAGTATCCCCATTTTACAAACGGGGAACTGAGGCACAGACAGATCATGTGACTTGCCTAAGGCCATGCAGGAAATCTGATGCAGAGCTAGGTAGAGAACCCAGATCTGCTGATTCCCATCCTTTCTCTGGACTCTTTAGGACTTGGATATGTTTGGGGGTGGGGATTGTATTCAGAGTACAGTATGAATCAAGGAAGATGTCCTGTAACCAGAATCCTTTGTCACAACAGATGAGATGTGGTTTCTCAGGTAATAAAATCCAAAACAATTTAGAGGGTCAAGGTCAAAAATAAAACCTCATAGCCTACCCAGAAAGGGAGGCAGGCCCACTGGGTGAGAACCTCAGCTGGCGTAGATCAGCAGAGCTCCATTGACCTCACTGAAGCTGTGCTGACTTACACTGGGTCAGGTCCTCCACTGGTGTGTTTAAAAGAATGATTTACAATGGTTATAAAGTTAGGGGGGGAAATCATTCCATTAGGCTTTAAAGCGTGAAGTTCAAATTACTTTCCTTTTTGTCCCAACGCAGATTTGATACATATTTCAAACTGGCAGCCAGGTTAACAGTGAGTTAGAACATGACAAAAGATGGAGCAAACAGTGAATATGTTCAGCCATAAAATCCAGTCTCAGGGGTTTACTTCATTTTGGAAAAATGTTGGGCTAGATCTTTGGCTGGTGGCTAAGCTCCGTTTAAGCCACCTTAAACTTGCTATGTATCTGGTCCAGCAACGTAGATGATAGACATTAGCTACACTCACCCTGCCAGCCTACTTGCTACATATTGCATCACCCTCTTTCTTCTCTGCCCCCAAGGAGGGCTGAGAAGAGAATAAAACTATAGTGCAGAGGGAGTCGCAGAGGGCCACAAAATAATCTGTCCTGGCACTGAATTGTAATGCTGACATCACAGCATGGCATGAATACATGATGAAACCGTGTGCAACAAGACAACACAGACATCACAATGCAATGGCAGGCTGTTACAGTGGGGATTATTTTGCAACTCTGGACCTTTTGTCTGAGATGTCCAACTGTTCCAGGCAGAGTATCAGGAATATTTAGAACCAGATCCTCAGTTGGTGTACATTGGCTCCACTCACTTCTATAGGACTATGCTGATTTACAGCAGGTAGAGCTTTGGCCCAATACGCGCAATGCTCCAAGTCCAAAGCAGAACATTTTCCTTTTATTGGACACAAAAGAATATTCTTGGGACATTTTGAACGCTGCCCTGTGTGTTTGTTAGGAGTTAAATGATTCACAAGATTTTCTGTGGGAATGGCACACACGCACACATTTCACATAGTGAGCCTCACCAAAAACCCAGATACAAAATAAGCTCTTTGGGATACACAAGGCTGAAGAAGAGACTTTTCTAAATCACTTCATTTTACTGGAAACTCTGCACAGCTACTCCCACACTGTAACGCGCTGTGCGCTCCTCGGAACCGGCATTGTCTGAACTTGTGGTATTTTAATGAATGCTCTTGCCAAGCCAAAGACGCTTTAGACCCATCACCTTTGTCAAGAGGAGTATCCTAGGTGAACTGAAGTACAGAGTGTGTCCTCTGCTGCAAACCAACTCGCAGGTATGTTAAATGAGTTCCTATTAAATAAAAAATCACTGCTCTTGTGCATTTCCTGGAGTATCACGGGCACAGATTGTTTTGTGGAGGGTATCCAGGAGGGTGACAGAAAAGCCACACACAAAATCCTTTTCACTGTATGTATGGAAAAATAAGTAGGGACAAATGAATGGCTCTCTTTTATTTTGTAAGGACTTTAAAAGCAGATTCTTAGGTTTGGGCTGCACGGAAAGGAAGATTTCAGAAAAAAAAAATCCTGATTCATCTTCATTATTCAGTCCCTCAACCATCCTTGGAAAATTATTATGCCATTCGGAGCTGAATTCAGCAGAAAAATGTACATATAATAACTAAATAAAATCAAACTGCTCTCCTTTCTGCAGCCCTAAAGAGAGACAGCCAGACAAAAGCATGAAAAAATTGACTGTCTGGCCAAGAATGAAATTGCTGGCAAGTCTGGTTTCAACCCTGCTATTAGTTTTCTTGCAGCTGCTTCCACTACCTAAGCAGCATTGGGATAGTGCATTCTCTGAAATCCTTTTTCTAACTGGGTTTCATATTTATTCAGATATTAGCCTGACTCTCGTTAATATTTCATCCCAGAGAACTTACAAGTTAATGGTCTGTCAACTTGAAAACAAAGAGGAAAAGAAACTAGAAATGTTACTGCTTTTAGGGATGAAACACGGCCTCCTTCTGTGGGCAGAGGGCTTGCCAGACACACTGGATCTGGTGCAGATCTGCTGTGCAAAAAGGGACAGGATTTAGGCAGGCTGCCTTGGGGTGGGGGGTGCTGCCAGAATGGTGCTCCTGCAGGCTCTCTGCCATGCTGGAAGGGTCTGGTTATGCAGCAGAGTGGAGGAGGAGGTTGGAAGTGAAACTGGTGAATATGCAGCTACGTGGATTCCAGCTACCTTTGCACCCATGCAGGAGCCACAGAACCTACAGCAGCGGAGTTGTTATGGCAATTGTAGAACACTCTGTAGCCACTTTTGGGGGGAAAGGGGATACGGAGTGTAAGATGGCTCCTCCCTGTCCCAGAGAGATCCCCAGTGACCGTCAGTGGCTTGAGCCATGAGATGCCATGCTCCAGGATCGGGGCAGTAAGGCTATATTCAGATGTTATACAATGATAATGGGTTACATTTTGTTAGGCATCAGTCTTGCTTACCTCGCTGAGATGTTGTGAGGCTTCGTCCATTAATATTTGTAAAGCACTTTGAGACACTGAGACGGAAGGTGCAGTCTAGGGACAGAGAATAATTTATTATTTCATTAAAAAATAATGATCAATAACTGCACAAAAGGAACAGGCTTAAAAGATCTGAAAAATCTCAGATCATCACCAACAATTGTGTGTGTTTTCTCTCTCTCATGTAGTATTTAGCTTTCCCAATACAGTATGTTAGTTGATATCCTAAACAGACAGCTTGATCTGGCTGAGTCACACAGGTGAGGAGGAACAATGATCTGTGTGTTCCTCGGCTACAAATTATTCACTTTTCCCTGATAATAAAAAGACGTTTTATATAATTGCATTCAGGCAGCCAATCCTGAGGGTGTGGCTACCGTGAGATCATCACGCCCCTGGGGAATCAGATCTGGCTGTGTGTCAGAGCTTCAGAATGCCTGAGGCAACCCAGAGCATCTTAAAATAACTTAAACACACCTCATGTCATGCCTGGCTGTTTAATCAGCCCAGAAGTGTCAGTCATTTCCATTCACTGAAGAATCACCTCAGTTGCTCTCATTCTGATCTTGTAGCAAGAATTTCACTTTTGAACTCAGAACTTCCCTTAACAGAAACCAGGGTTGTGTGCATAATCGCTTCCCCCAACCCCTCATCCCCCAATTCCCATCCCGTTTCAGAAGACAGGCTGCATGGAACAACACGTCCCTCATCTGCAGCAGCTGGTTGTTTAAAGGAGGCAGCATAACCTGGATATTAGAGTGGGAGACTGGGAGAGAGCAAAGCCAGGACCAGTCTCCCTTCAAGTTAATGGGCTTTTTGCCATTGACTAAATGGGAACAGGATTTGACCCGTGAGTTCTATTCCCAGCTCTGCCTCAGGCTTAAAAACATTTAGGCTTCATATTTTCAAATGTCTGCTTAATTGCGGGTGCCTCAGTTTTGGGTGCCCAACTAGAGACACTTTGGACCCATTATTATTTATTATAGATATAACCCTAGCACTGAGGGGCCCTAGTCATAGACCAGGACCCCATTGTGCTAGGCACTGTACAAACACAGAACAAAAAAAACAGTCCAGGCTCCCAGGAGCTTACAATCTAAATTCGTTTTGAGGCATTTTGAGTTGACAGTTCTTAGCATCTCTGAAAACCAGGCCCCACATGTCTCAGACTGAGTAGCAAAAAAAATGATGTGCTCAGAATTAGAGGCTATTTACCAAAATTGTGGGCCTCTCCTGCTCTGTCCAACTTTTCCCACCAGCAAATTAAGAATGAAAATACCCACGTTTGTAAAATGCTTTGACAACCTTGGATTCGAAGCATTTTATAATTGCATAGTCTTCTCACATTCAAATATACTAATTTCTTCCAGCTTTTGTTGGATTTTTACCATTTTATTTTCAGGAGCACAACATTTTGTTCTTTTACAGCTTTATTTTGCAAGCCACAGTCACATGTGTATTCCCTTTTTGGGTTCTCAAGTTGTATAGACTAATACTAAACTAAGTCAATTGACAAATGGACTACCAGGCCAAAATACTCTACCGCTGCCCGTTAGAGCAGAACATACCATTCCACAAAATGTCTTTGTGCTTTTGTTATGTGGCTTTCAGGTAGCTCTATGATTTTCCCCAGCTCCAGCAAGGTGTCTTACTTCCTTCTTACCACTAGATGGAACTAGTGCTCCATCTCAGTCTTTTCAGCGGCCAGATCCATTAGGGCTGGTGGTTTGGACTTGAACATTGTAAACTCTTTCATTTGGGGCTGAAAAATGATAAACCAAAAGCTCCAGTCCTGTTTTACAAAGCAACGATTCAGTTCTAATGAATAGTGTGTCGCAGGAAACGTCTATCAATATCAGTTTATAATTAAATCATAACAACAAGCTTGTGACAACGAGGCACAAAATCTGAAACACGCCTTTCAAAGGAGAGAGAGATGGTTTAGCCAAGCATGCCATAACACCAGCCCTTTATAAATAATTAGACTTTTATAATGATCTTTTTAGGGGGTGGGAAGAAGCTGAAGCAATAACAGGTTTTCTTAGCTTATCTTTACAATAACAAATGCTTTTTTGTTCTGTTTATGCTCTCCTAACTCTTAGGTTCCATATTCTGGCGTTAGCCCATTTAGCATGAGGTAATTCTAGACCTTCTTCTGTTGTTCCCCAAATGAAGTCTCTCCTATAGCAGCTCTTCACAGAAGAGTTTGCCACAAGGCAAGCTCAAGTGACAGAGTCCTTCTATAGTTTGCAAGTCCAGCACCTTTTGTCCCGTAGGCTCACACAGAATTGGCCCAGTAGAACCGGATGAACAACTCACATACAGTCGCTGTTCTACCTTCTCTTCAGGGCCGGTGCAACTATTTAGGCAACCTAGGCGGTTGCCTAGGGCGCTAGGATTTGGGGGGCGCCATTTGCTTCGGCAGCGACCACAGCAGCCGGATCTTCGGCCACTCCGGTCACCGCCAGTATTTAGGCGGAGGGAGCTGGGCCAGTGGAGCGCGGGGAGGGCCACCTGCAGGGGGGGGGCGGCACGCAGGGGAACTCCCCGCCCCAGTTCACCCCCGCCCCGCCTCCTCCCCGAGCATGCCGTGGCTGCTTCACTTCTCCCGCCTCCCAGGCTTGTGGTGCCAATCATGCTCGGGGAGGAGGTGGGGCAGGGGTGAGCTGGGGTGGGGGGGGTGCGTCAGGGTGGGGGGTGGGGAGCTGCCACAAGGGGGGTGCCTCAGGGCGGGGGCGTCGGGGACGGGGGGGGCGGCAAGGTGGAAGTTTCGCCTAGGGCGCGGAACATCCTTCCACCGGCCCTGCTTCACTTACTTCATCCCTACTCTGGGTCTGCGTGAGCTACTCAGAGTTCACTCAGTCTAATTCCAGGGACCTCCATGCACCTCAGCCTGCCAGGCCAACATGTGGAGCACAACGTGGGGAAGTCTTGAAGAGAGGGACGGAAAACAAAGGGTAACATAGGAGGATTAAAGCCAGGCTGAACCCAGCTAATCTCGTCTAGACTCTCACCCTCATGATTAGCATGTCTGATGCAAGACTATTCAAATAAGAACTATCTAAATCATGTGGCAGACAAATAGATTATTTAAAATAATCTATGTGAAATAACAGCAGGGGCCCAATCCTCCCTTGCAGTAGGGCTGCTTTGCACCACTCCACCAGTACAAGTAACCCAAAAGCCAGGATAGCTGATCCCCTCTATTAGCTTACAACCAACATAGCCGCTCCCCACTCCCTGAAGCCAGGCTAAGGGGCTGACCTGGGCAAAGGGGGCATTGCTGGAACATCCCTGTGCCCAGTGATTCCCAACTGCCACAATGGCCACTTGGCACCATCAGCAGCCACAGTAATTAGAGCAGCTTTCAGCCAATATATGCTGGGGATCTAGCCTGGCGTACTGCCAGCCATGCATCGGGGAGGAGCAAATGTGTCTTAAAGCCCCTGTATTATAGCTCTGAGTGGTCTTTTGTCTCCCCACCCCCCATACCACCTCCACACACAATCATAGAAAGCAGAGGCGGAAATGACCAATTGGCTAATCTAGAACCTTCCTCTGTCAGAGCAGATTACACCTCTACCCCGATATAACATGAATTTGGATATAATGCGGTAAAGCAGCGCTCCGGGGGGGGGGGGGGCTGCGCACTCCAGCGGATCAAAGCAAGTTCGATATAACCTGGTTTCACCTATAACGCAGTACGATTTTTTGGCTCCCGAGGACAGCGTTATATCCGGGTAGAGGTGTATTAGCACATTCTCCTGCATTTTATCCAACATAGTTTTAAATACCTTAGGTGGTTTGGTTTCCACCACTTCCCTTGGGAGACTATTACACCACCAAAACAGATCTCCCTGGGGGAAGTTTTCCCTGATTTTCAGACTCAGGGCTCATCTCCACTGGAAAGTTTTGCTACTTTAACTATAGAGGTACAGTTAAAGCAGAAGACACACACACTTTCAGTGTGGATGCAGTTATGCCCGTATAAAATGATATAGTTTATTCTGGTTTGGGAAGTGGAGTACGCTATACTGATATAAATTGCCTTCCTATGGATAATAACTGCATCTTCATTAGGGCTTGTACCAATATAACAATTTCAGTAAAAACATCGCACCCCAACCAACACAGTTATAAAGGTAAAACACTGAAGTACAGAACAGACTTAAATGTTCCTAGAGTGAGGTAACTTCACCTCTCTGAAATTTCCCTTCTGCTTTACGCACTACGGGACTCTCTACTCGATGGGCCTGATTTTACAATCTTTACGAAGGGAGATGTCCCATTGAAATAAACCTGTGTGCAAGCTGAGTAAGGACTGCATTGTCAGGGCTTTTTAGCTTCGACACTCCCTGCAAATCTATTCTTCCTGCTCAGGTCATGCTGAACTCTTCCAGTCAGGCCTTTGTAGCTGCTCTGGCCTGCTTGAGCTAATCTCTTCCACCATTCTGAACGTATCCACTCTTCCCTCCAGACTCTTGCCACAGCTTCTGTACTAGTGTAACTATGTCAGTTAGAGGAGTGATTTTTAACTGATATAGTTATATTGATCCAACCCCTAATGTGTACACAATCATACCAATACAAAAGTGCCTTATATCAGTATAGCTTATTCCCCTGTCATATGAGAATACCAGTACAGTTAAAGTGGTACAACTTTTGTATGTAGACGAGGCCTCTCTCTCACCTTCACTACCACTCAGCAATACACATACAATTTAATACAACACCCATAAGCTTGCAGACCCCTTTATTCCTCTCAAGTAAGCTTGAATGAGGGACACATTTATTCAAGCTTCTTCAACTCCTTCTTCTACCCAATTGATTCTCAGGATAAATAAGACAGCCATGCGTTTCACCTCTCTTTTCAAATCTTTGTTTGGGTTAAACGGTCTGACTCAGCACTAATAATTGGGTGACCAAATTTTGTTCCCCAATACATTTTGGTTTGGTTTTGCTTTCAGATGAAGGTGTATATTCCATTTCAGTTGGAAACAGAAACATTGACTCCCCAAACACTCATTGTAGGCAATCAGGATTTTGGGAGCGTG